GTTGGTTGGATGGTTGGTTGGTTGATTGGTTGGTTGGTTGGTTAGTTGGTTGGATGGATGGATAGTTGGTTGGTTGGTTGGATGGTTGGTTGGTTGGTTGGTTGGTTAGGTTGTTTTGTTTTTTGAGACAAGCTTTTGCTATGTACTTCAGGCAGGCCTTGAACTTGGAACAATCATCCTGCCTCAGTCTCCCAGGATTATAGGCATGCCACCATGACCAGGAGCAATAGAGATTTATTTTACAGTATTCAAAAGTGGTGAAGGTGGTTTCTACCTACTTTTTTTTTTTGCAGTCTTATGCCCCAGGTAATGTTGCTGCATTGCCTAAGTGATTATACTACTGGCTTTACCCAGAGTCTCCAAGCATGTCTCTCATCGTACTGGTACACTGCACATAAACTTCTCCCATCATAATTTGTCACTGAGCCCAAAACTAGGGCCTGACCTGTTAAATCCTGATCTTGCCAGGCCTGCACCCATGTTTGCTTGGTGCCTGTTACAGATTCCTTAGCTGTGCCTCCGGTTCTTGTCCTGGCTCCTAGTTGCGATGGGCCTTGAATCACCACCAGGAATGTATTTTCTCCTGCCCTCCTCTCCTTCCTTTTCACATGGTCTTATCAAAGAATGAAATGAACACCCAATCATGGGCTGTTTCCACACACTTCTTTGCAAGTTAAACTCTTGGGTGATCAACTAGGGCCCCAAACAGAGAAGCTCTCAGTGGTGAAATTGTGAAATGAAGTGACTTTTAGAAAACACACACACACACACACACACACACACATGTCACATACACATCTTTGGGGAAATAATTTAGACCAGACAAGATTATGGCAATTGAGCAGCCTCCATGTGGCAGTTAATTTTCTCTGTCAATTTGACTGGGCTAGGAGTTACCCAGACAGCTAGAGACACGTTATTTCAGGCTGTGTCTGTGCAGGTATTTCCAGAGAGTGAGCATTCGAGTCAGTAGCCTAAGTAAAGAGGATCTGCCCTCACCAGTGTGAGTGGACATCATCTACTCCACTGAGGGCCCGAGAGGTTGAGGTCAGAAAGGCAGAGAGAAGGTGGACTCACCCTTGTCTAACTGGACACCTCCACCTCCTGCACTCTGGGTATTCTCCGACCTTCAGACACCAGGACATGGACCAACAACTCCACCCTGCAAAGAAAGGAGCAGTGAGCAGTTTTAAACACACCAAACTACAGGGCCCTTTGCAGGCTAATTTTCCAACAAAAATGGAATTTTGTGATCTGTAAAAATAGAGTATGTGTGCTGGGTGTGGTGGTGCACACCTCTAATCCCAGCACTCGACAGACTGAGCAGAAGGATCACCACAAGTTCAAGGTCAGCCTGGGCTACATAGTGAGTTCAAGGCCAGCCTGGAATATATAATAAGACCTTGCCTCAAAAAAAAAAATATATATATATACACATATATACATACACACATGCACATATAGTATGTGATAAGTACAAGATAAGGTACAACCCAGATTGTGCTACCAAGTATAATAATAAAACACTGTAACCTGACTATTCAATTTAAAAGCTAGAAAGTTACCACCACTGGGTGTAGTGGCACATGTCTGTGATACCAGCACTTGGGAGGCTGGGGCAGGAGGACTGCTACAAGTTCGAGGCCAGCCTGTACTACATAGTGAGTTCATGGCTAGCCAGAACTATGTAGTGAGACCCTGTCTCAAAAAAAAAAAAAAAAAAAAAGACACTGCCTATTATATCTACTTCTGTATTCTTTTTTCTTTTCACTTTTTCCTTTTTTTATTTTAAAGAAAATAAAAATTACAAAAAAAAACATTAAAAATATTGGAGTTGTGAAGAATACTTCTGTATTCTTACTAACTCCAATATAACTGCTTGCTTTTGACAATCCTTTGCTTTCTTTAAAAAGTAATTGTGGGACTGGGGATATAGCTCAGTGGCATGTGTGCCTGCCTGGCAAGTGCAAGATCCTGACTTCAATTCTCGGAATGAAAAAAAATTAATTGTGATTATCCTTAAGTAACATTGTTCACTGACATAACTTATTTTACCCATTTTATATTTCCTCTACACCACTTGCCTTTCACTTAATATTGTCTGTAGGATTCACCCATAGTGTACCCTGCATATACACTTTACTCATTTTTACTCCTTAAAATTCCATGATGTGAATATAGAACACTGTCCGTCAATGGTGGTTTCCAGCTTATGATAAACAATACTGCTGTGAACAGCTGTGTGCGTTTTCTGTTGCCCAGGGATAATTAGTAAATATGTTCTGCGATCTAACAGGCTAAGTCCCTACAATTTATTCTTCTCCAGCTGCATTTTGGTTCCTGAGTCTCTGCATTTCTTTATCATTTATTAATCTAATAAATCCATTTTTTAAAAAAATTTTAAAGCCAGGCGTAATGGCACATGTTTGTAATCTCAGCACCCAGGAGGATCATCATGAGTTTGAGGCTAGCTTGGGTTACATAGTGAGTTTAACAGCAGCCTGAACTACATAGTGAGACTCTGTCTCAAAAAAAATAAAAATAAAGGAATAAATAAAAAGTTTAAAATTTTAAAGAAGCAATTTGTTGGAATTACATTGAATCTAAAAAGCAATTTGGGAGAAAACTGACATCTTTAGGATGTCTAATCACCCTATCCATAACCTCTATCCCTCTATTGATTTAAATAGTCTATTTCCCAACTGATTCCTCCCCTCAGCCACCTTCTTTCTCAGACCTGCTAATTGAGCCCAGTGACAAGCTACAGCTCCAATCCTTTTTACTTTTGATAATAATAAGTTGTTACATTGCCCAGGCTGGGCTTAAACCTGCTGTCTTCCTGCCTCAGCCTCCCATAGTGATGGGATTATGCATTTTCTTCTTAAAGATTGTATACTTCTACTGGCTCCTAGGATTTGATCCAAGGTACTGATTTTTCTAAAGGAAATGGGAGAGTCAGTTTTTGTTGTTACCTTGTCATTGTTGCTGTTATGTCTTCTACACCTGGTATAGAAAAATATGAATGGCTTTTCTGCATAGATTGTACAGTCACCTTGCTTAAACTCTTACTAATTTCTGTTACTGTATTGTAGATACTCTGTAAATAGTGAAAACTTTGATTCTTTCTTTGTGATTGAAATTGTGTTCTTTCTTTCTGTTATTTTCACCGGCAAAGGCTCTAGTACAATGTAAAATAGAAGGATGACAGCAAGAGTTTATATGTTGTTCCTGACTTTAATGATGTGATTCAAACTTTTGATCATCATCACTATTCAGAATAATGTTCACATAGGTTTTTGGTAGATACAAGGGGTCTTATACTCCATAACATTAGGAGTTTTCATCATGAGTGAGCGTTGATTTTATCAGTTTATTTTATGAATTTTCTGAATGTTAAAATTATCTTTCCATTTGCTCATATGATATATTACACAATCAGCTCTCTAATGTTAAACCACCCTTGCCTTCCTAAGATAAACCCACTTTGTTCATGACATATCTTTCTTTATAAACTGTTAAATTTGGTTTGTGAATATTTGCTCTAGGATTTTTTGCACACATCCAGTTGATATTGGCTTAACATTTCTTTCTCTTTTTGTCTTTTCTTTTTCTTCCTAATACTATATTTATGACAGTATTATTATTATTATTATTATTATTATTATTATTATTATTATTTGCCTTATACAATGAGTTGAAAATGATCCTTTTCTATTTCTTGGTTACCGTGATTGTCATGATCTAACCCCAACATGTTTCCTTCACCTTTTCTTTAAAGCTGACTGAACTTTCTAATGTGTTTGTGAGAATCTTTTCATCACTAGGTCTGTGTCATATTTCCTGAAGCGACTCCCCAGCTTTTTATTTTTTACTTTTCTCTAAAATTATGATTTTAGAACATTGTCCGTTTCCTCTGTGTGTTCAAAGGCACATGTAACATCCTCCCAGGCTTCCAGACGCCGCAGTTCCTATGGTTATGGCTCCCTTAGCATCCCAGATACCATTCCATTTTGCCTTCTGTATTTTGTACTTGATCAGTCTGGTCAGATCTGATACCCTAGTTCCCTCTTCCAGACCCGCAGAGCAAACCCAGTAGCTGTGACCCCTGAGTGTCCCCTGCTCCCAGCCTACCTGCGTCCAGCCCTCGGCAGTTGCCTGACACGTGTCACTGGCTGACAGATGTCGCCCTGACTGCCTGTCTGGCTTCCAGGGGTGAACACAAGGTCATAGCACGACCTTCAGAAGCCCTTGGTGGTCTTGCACTTGTGGGCCCCTCACCTCATTAAAAAGGAATTTCTTAGTTATATTTTATAACTGTGTTGACGTGTATAACATTTTTCTTCTACCAGAAAGTTCATTTTAACTCAGATTTTAAGATATTAAAACATGTTCATGGGCTCTCTAGTGTCTCAGAAGCTCCAGATTCTGCACCTACTTTTCTAAAGGAGAAGCTAGCCCTTAATGAGTGAGAGGATGTTTATTTCCTCGTGGTTTCGTCACAGAGATCTCTGACTTCAGGAAAAAATACACAGTGGCTCTCGCATATCTTACAGCATCTATCAGGCAGCTCTCCTTTCTAAGAAGACGGGTAGGGTTCCCTTCCTTCTGCTACTCCACACTTGGAAGTCCTGATCCCGGGCTGCCCTGGTCACGTGGTATTTTGCGCAGACTGGAAAAAGACGTCTCATCTTTATGAAGAAGAAAAAGGCCGTTAGGGGTCAGAGCCATGCCTGGGTGTCACAGCAGGGGTGGGAGGCGACACTAACCCACGGCGTCCAGATTCAAGGCAACCTAAGGGTGGTCCCAGCAGCCAGTGTGGCCCTCCCATTGCTCCTGGACGCCACCAGGAGTCCGAGGGTCTCCAGGCAGGTGAGCGTGTGTGCAAACCCCCCCACCCCGTGTTCCCTCAGGACGGGAAGGTCCACCTCACACTCACCTGACTCTCCTCTCCACAGGGATGACGTGCCAGGCCCGGAGCTCCTACATCACCAGTGAGATCCTCTGGGGATACCGCTTCACCCCGGTCCTGACGCTGGAGGACGGCTTCTACGAGGTCGACTACAACAGCTTCCACGAGACCTATGAGACCAGCACCCCGTCCCTTAGTGCCAAAGAGCTGGCCGAGCTGGCCAGCAGGGCGGAGCTGCCCCTCAGCTGGTCTGTGTCCAGCAAGCTCAACCAGCACGCAGAACTGGAGACCGAGGAGGAAGACAAGAACCCCGAGGAGCAAACAGAAAGGAACGGCGATGTGGCCAACCTGGAGAACGAATCCAAAGTGTAGCGCCCAGGCCGGGCAAGCCCTTCCAGAAGCCTCCGCCCCAGACGCCGCCTCTCCTTGTCTCTTATTTTCTTTCTTGTCTGTCTCTCGTACTTCGCGCTTTATTTCCTTCTATTTGATTTTGACATTGCCAGAAAACAAATCTTCAAGGTGTAAAATATCTACCTGCCCTCTCTCACTTGTTCCGATTGACAAAATAGACGTGGATTGGGTGAAAAATGCCATGTGCCCTCTTTTGTGGCTCAAGCCTGGTCTCCTCCCAAAATACCAACTTCTAACTTCTAGGGATAGCAACTACTTTTACCTGCATGTGTTGTACAATATGAGATCACCCAAAAGAGCGTGTCAAAGATACGTAAGCTCTCTGGTGCCTAATTATCACGAAGTGAGCAGCAGTATGACCTCCATGTTTTAGATTCCAACACATTTTATCGCCCACAGAGTGAGGTGCTCCCCCGTGAGGCACAGCAGGCTGAGACCCAGGTGAGCGCAAGACAAACCACTGTACATAGATCTGCCTTATGGAATTACTTTCTTTTGGCAATTAGAAATAAAACCCAGCATGTACAAAAGTACTGTAGAGCAGAACTTCTAAATAGTGTACATAGATGTATCATTAACATAATTTTAGATATGTAACTTTAGAAATAAGAAGAAAAAAAAAAGATTCCCAGCACACAGTAGGCATTTCTGTTTTGATGTCTGCATTTTCCACATTATTTAGGGCATGGCCTTGGTTCTGGGTCCCTGCCCAGCAGTCCTGAGGGTACTTCTCTGTCCCTCACTGACCCTTTTGTTCAATCTAATAAGCCATAGGTCTGGTGGCAGTTGAGAGGTCTAGCAGATGGCAAGACCCACCACCAACGTGCTGACATACTGTGACATGTTTACAAAACGGGCAGCGCTTTTTAAAAGATAACAAGGGCCTCACTGACTTGCCTGGGGAGAATGCCAGGAATAGGACACTCTCTGGGATGTCACCAGTGTCACCCTGATGCTCTTCACGTGAGCTTGTGCCCTTTGGAATACAAGAGCTCGGGAGAGTTTTGTGCAAAACCATTCATTCTCCAGCTGCTCCACCCTGCAATCATGAGAAATCGCAGACTGCTAAAAGCAGACGCGATAAGTCAGCAGAAGATGGTCTGGGTCTAAAGCCATGAAATTCAGGAAGGCACGTAGCAGGTGACAGACTGTACTCACTGACCTCTCAAATGCTTTGACTCTACCTGGGGCTCTAGGGATGAGATCTTGCCGGTCCCTGGGGGCCTATTCATCAGCATTTCTGGAATTGGGATTTTTTTTCTTCTCCTTTTTTTTTTAGCTTTAAATCACCAGAGTTCAGTGTTCAAAGATTAGATCAACTATCTTGGTGACTGTCTAAGCATCTCTCTAAAATGCGCCACTATTTAAAAATCAAATCCAAAGTGTCTCTTGATCAAAAGAGAACAAACAAAAAATAGTAGCCTTAATTCATTTTAATGTGCAAAGAGGAAGGAAGGAAGGAAGGAAGGAAGGAAGGCAGGCAGGCAGGAAGGAACAGGGGTATTTTGTACTGAAAATCTAAACTTCAGAATGAAAAACAAATAAGAAAAGAAAGAGAATCTTACAAAACCCTCAGGGGCAGGTGGAGATTTTGCACTGTGACAGATCTTTCACATTAATTTTGCATTTATAAACTGTTTGTTCTTTAACATAGTGGCCCATCATGAATATTCATTGAATGGATTCAAGTCTATTTTCAGCTCCTACAGCTGTGCTCGGTTGAAGCCTCGGGCCACGGAGGTGGAAGAGATGAGCTGGCCATCCCTCCGTGTCTCCCTCGCCTTCTGCGACCAGGCTGCACAGGCCTTGCTGTAGTCAGGGACCCTGTCACCGGAAAGGACAACCCAGAGCTCAGGAGAACGGCTCCTCTGCTGAACATCGGGGGTCTCTCCCGCTGCAGAGACCTGGCATCCGGGTACCTGCTTCTTGGCACTGGCTCTTTGGAAACTCAAGCTGTTGGCCGTAACCTTTACTGTTCTCAGCATTTCATTTTTGGCATCGGTTATCTATCTGTTGAGTCATGTGTGCATCCCATACACTCTTAGGAGGAAGTAGTCAAGGAGGAGGGAGCCCGATATACTTGCCGCAGCCTGACCTTGTGGTAGCCTTAGGAAGGGCACTCTGCCCGGGGGCACCAAGCAAGAGGGAGTAGGGGCCACGAAATGCCTGCTTCGTTCTCTCTTGAAGACCCACTGGGCCTTTTTAAACCCATTGCTAAGTCTTGAAGGACAAACACTTTCCGTGGTTGTGTTGGAATTGCATCGGGGCCTGATGGCTTCTTGCCTGCCCTTTAACCAAGGTTCTGCCAACCAGAACCAAGATCTTGATGAGACCTGGCACCATGCCAGTTCTGTGTCTGTGACAGGGCACCCACTGTCCTGCTGCTGGTGTAGCTGGAGACAGAACTGGAACCAAATCTCTCGTTTTTGTAACGCAAGCTCTGAATCTTTAAAGGAGGAGACTCCTGAAGGACCTTTTATTAGAATGTCCCCCTCAAACATGTCTATTTTTCTACAGTTATTGAGAACACAGCTTAATAGTGTATTTTGTGTCAACTGTTACAATTTGGGACTGAACGAAGTTCATGAAGACTGAATTTTCTAAGCAGCAAGTAGGGAATGGGGGTTTTTGCATTAAGACAGTTCAACAAAATTAACCCCACAATTTCTACCCTTTCTACTCCTAAGACCTAGTCCTCATTCTGGCACCCTCTCCGTTAGCAAAACAAGTGCTATGAAAATAACTAGGCTGATCGGAATGGGACAATGCCCATAACCAGTGAGATCACTCTCGAGGAGGTATTTTGGTCTGTTCAATTAGAACAGTTGAGCCAGTTTTCCCTAAAGCCTGGTGGAATCCGTGAGTTAGAGAAGAACCTGGAACTATAGGTCCATTTGTCCCAGGTGACCGCAGTGTGACCGAGCAAGGTACTCCTAGAGCACAGCTCAGGTGGAGCTGGAAGGGTGACCTCCCCGGGACTGGGAGCCCTCAGGGTTTCTCGCTTCTGCCCACCCACTTCTGCTATCCAAAGGGAAGAGCGCCTATTCATTTTGAAATCAACTTCATACAATTAAGAGAACCACTTGTGTTTTGGGCCATCCCCTGGGCAAACTATTCTCTTTGCACTAACACACTCACAATGACTGTAACATCAGCTCATTCCTTTTTCATTTCTCCTAAACATGGTGTCCCAGCATGGCTGTCCCCACACAAAGCCCCTCCACATCCCTGAAAGGAGTCGCTCTCTTACCCCCTCCCTCCACCCCCCTGTCCCTCTCTTCTCTTTCCCTTGCCTGCTTCCAAATCTACCAATCCAATTCAGTATCATGGTCTCCCTAACAGAAATCCAGCTGTTTTCTCTAAAAATGTCAACTTATTTCTTAAGCACAAATTTGTCTTATAGGTTTCACCAAACTACAGCTCTGAAACGTTTACTCATCAGTACCCTAATTTGAAAATTATTTCCAACTTCATTTAAAAGTCTAAATGTTCAAGTCTGAAGAGCAACATTCTTATGCTTTCTTTTCCTGCATTTTCTAATACTTCTGGTTTCTTGCTTACCCCGCCCCATCCCTGCCTTTTTTTTTTTTTTTTTAGATTTAAACCAGTATCGTTGGGATATTACAGAAGCAGGAACAGGTAGACAGAGAAAAGGAGCATAAGAATGCGGTGGGAACTCCATACCCACACTGGGAGAAGGGGCGGTCATTTCTTTAGCTGAGAAGACACAATAGTAAGTCTTTGTAAAACAGCTTGCCAACTTTCCAGTCTTTCTGTCCTTGAACTGGGTGATTCTCTGTGTGATCCAAGAGTCAGGAGGGTGACTGCAATGAAACACCCCACATACATGGCAAAGGTAATCTGCTAGGACGATTTCCTTTCCATGGGTAGCTATAAAGTTGAAAAACAAAGGCAACAAAAACGTTATACAGAGTTTGCTGATATTACAATACAATACAGCCAAATAATATTGTTTCTAGACTTTACAGCTAACATATATTTAAGAAAATGTTATCCTTTGATTTAAAATTGAATAAAACACATTTCTTTCTAATATTTCCGCCCTTAATGTCTTGGAGGGCTTTGGATAGGGTGTAACCTAGAAGCCAAAATTCTATCAGAGAACTGCACTATAATAGCAAAACAATATTGCACCCAACATTGTGTGGTAAACTTCAAGCACCCGTGCAAGTCATCTCATTTAATTCTAATCCGCACGGGAGGCTGAGTATAATAATTTGCATTGCTAGAGATGGAAAACTAGAGTTTGGCAAAGTAAGTAATTTCCCCAAGGTCACAAGACCGGAAAATCACTGATCGTGGTCTCAAATCCATGTCACAAACCTATAAGCCAGGGGCTCTTTTTACTACAAAAAAAAAAAAGTTTGGCAAACCAAGTCTGCGGACAGAAAGTGGCCTGCTGCCTGTTATTACACCCCTTGTGAGCTAAGACTGAGGTTTACATTTGTTAATGGTTGGGGGGAAACAAAGAATATTTTGTGACGTGTGAAAATCCTATGAAATTTAAATTCCAGCATCCACAAATGAAGTCTTACTGGAGCACAGCCAGGCCCATTCATTTATGTTTTGCCCATGGCTGCTTCAACCTCCGCGAGCAGAGCTGAGGAACTGCAGCAGGGGACATATGGCTGGCAAAGATGAAGTATTGACTAGCTCGCTCTTTACAGGAAAAGCTCATCCTGACCCCTGTACTGTATTATTTAGCAGTATTAATCACTGAGTACTTATAGTACTAATAGTACTACTGGGAATTGTACCCTACTCCTAAGGGACTCCTAGGAAGCATGGAGAACTATACTCTTTTCCAGTGTAAACCTAGTAGAGCCACTCATAGGTCTGTCCCTAGAAAACAGAAGACATCTTTTGATAAAGGGGCACCTGCTTCCCAGGCCTAGGAAAGCTCCTCCCCTAGTGCAGCTCACAGGAAGGAGTCGTGTCTCCTCCCCTCCTCCCTCTCCTGCTCAGTGGCCCACTGGTCCTGTCACACATCAACCAACCTCCTCCCCGCCATTCTGCGGCCCGTCTTTCCCTCTCTTGGAGGAGAACTAACGCGGCCACTGAGATGCCTCTGTTTCCTTGCTAGTTTCCTCTAGCCTACAGCCCACAGTGGATGGATGTGGGAAAGATGGCCCTAGGATGACCGCTGATGTGTGGTGATACTGCTCAGCCTCTTTCTGGCCACTCGGCTAGAAGTCTAATGTGCGAATAAGGAACCGAATGCCTCTCTTGGAAACCCCAGAGGTTCACTGCGAAGAGCTCCACGGGAAGAGAAGGCTGCAAAGGGCTCTTGGAGGATGCAAGACACTTTCTGTGAGCACAAGGTAACAGCTGGTAACTGCGGAAACCCCAGACGGATGGGATCCAGACAAGGAGGTTTTTGGATACCTCGACACTAAATGACATGCTTTAGTGTCACTAACTTAAACTCATGTTCTCAGAAAGCATTTCTAACGCCAGACACAGATGGCCAAGTTCAGTTCTTTATATTATTAGTTGTATTTAAAAACATATCAAGTTCTCCTGTGGGAATTTCCCTGGAAATTAGGCAGGAAAGAAAATATTTTGTGATGAATCCTTGTGCGTTGTTTCAGATAAATGGTGGATGTGGTCCCATTTCCAAAACTACGTTGACAATGGTGTCTTCGAAAGAGATCATTCAAAAGCTTGGGACCCTTCGCCATCCTGGAAGAGCAATAAAACAAAGCGGGAGGGAGCAGACCTCAAAGTCCAA